AGAAACGTTAAAATGTGCGCTTTTTACGCGTAAAAACGTCGTTTTTTTCAACGCTTGTCTGACTGGATGGCATCACTTTTGAGTTTTGAGTCATCTATTAAAACTGCACAACATTAATTTAATTTTTCTATATGCTTGTATAGTAGATTTCGAGTACTACCTATATATATCTGTTTAAGATGAAGAACTCTTGAATATAAAAAACAATGAAAACAAATCAACTTCAGTGCTAAAAAAATGACATAAAAAACTACAAAATGACAATAAAAATGTTGGGGATAGTTTTTGTGGTGCAATAGGATTTGTTTATACTGCTTTTATAGAGCTTCCAATGGCGCATCTTTGGAAAGAAGAACCAAAACTGTGCCGTTTGTTTGTGGACAGACATTAGCAAAAAACAAACTATATTACAAACGCTTTGGGACACCCAGTATTCCGCATTATTTAAAATTATTTCTATAATACCGTCATTTCTCAATGAAATTCAAAATATTTTTTTTACTAAAATGATCAGCGAAAAAGGTTCTAGAAAATCTGAAAAAATGGAAAGTTTTCTGAATTCCATGTGTTTTCTTAGTTAACTGGCCATGAAATTAACCTATGCTCACAATGTCATTTTGTAATTTTTTATGTCATTTTTTTTCTTAGCATTGAAGTTGATTTTTTTTATTGTATTTTATATTCAAGAGTTTTTCGTATGAAACAGATATATATATAGATAGTACTCGACCTCTACTATACAGACATCTATAAAAATTAAATTAATGTTGTTTAGTTTTAATACACGACTCAAAACACCAAACTGGTGCCAGACTTTTGATGCTGACAGCTATTCTGTAATTTTGCTTATGTAGAAAGCATTATCTGATCCCAGATAGATCTATACTCTTGGCTCGCTTTTTTTCTTAGCAATAAAACAATACAAATTTTTTCATCTAGAAAGAATCCGAAAAATTATTCATGCGCTTTGCAAATTCAAAACATTTCATGCTAACTATCCGAGCCAAATAGATTGAAAAGTTCAGTTACAATTATTATACAAAATGCATCATAGCTACAGTAGTTTGTATATCCTATTTTCGATCACATCTCCGTCTTTCATTTTTATTCTCTACAAAATGATTAAATTCTGTTGAATTTTCATAGCAAGAATTTATTTATCTAGCCATGAAAGAGTTGTGTATGGCCAATGATATGCCATTTTCAAATCTGTGAAAGTTGATATCTTAAAACAGCTAGCTTCCTTTTTTATTGACTGATAGTAAATACAAGGTCATACGATTTAAGTGAAGCTGCTGCTGAGGGTATGGGTGTGGGGTGTCGGTGTCGGTGTCAGTATGTTTGATTATGGTACCTATGCCAGGCAACCACATCCAGACATGAAATGAAGCGCTTCAGTTACAATATCATAGGTAACTCAGAAGTACGCTGGATAGGACAATGGAGGCACCCAGCGATAACTTTATCTGGTCAGGAGAAGGTAATAAGTACACCCGAGATGTTGTCATGCTACTTAGTACGAGGGCGAAGCGCTCGTTACTGAGCTACAACCCGATCGACTCGCAGATCATAACAGCGAGACTTAATGCATCACCATTCAAAGTAACAGTCATCCACGTGTACGCATCAACGTCTGACTCGTCAGAAGAGGATATCGAAGCTTTTTATGACAGTATAGAGAAGACGTTAGCTATCATACCTAAAATACATATGATCATACTAACGGGAGACTGGAATGCAAAAGTAGGAAATGATAATACAGATTGGGAGCATGTAATGGGCAAGCACGGTTATGGCACAAGAAATGAACGAGGCGAACGATTATTAGAGTTCGCAGCAGAACACGATCTCTTCATATGTAATACACGATTCCACCAAAAGTCTCATCGTAAATTGACATGGGCATCACTTGATGGTGTTCACAAAACCGTGATCGACCTAGTTATGGTCCAAAGAAGACGTAAAACATCTGCCATTAACTGCAGGACGTTTTAAAGTGCAGATATAGGCTCAGATCACTCGCTAGTCTTGTGCAGCATCAAGCTAAACCTTAAACAACTGTGTAGAAAGCCACAAATTACCCATGTGTTCGGCACAAAAGAACTCAACGAGTAATGAATACAACAGGTCTTTCAAGAGAGACTAAGTGACAACCTTAAGAGCATTCAGTCGAATTGTACTGTGGACGAAAGTGCAGCACAGATCGAAAATGCAATCAAAACCGCACTGGAAGTAGTCATTACTGCCAAAAGAAAAGCCAAAAAGCCTTGGATATCTGATAATGGAGGTGTGTGGGCTGTAACTCAAGGATATTAGATATATTCGGTCAATTTAAAGGTCTCACTGCCAAACTAACGAATTTAAAACATGATGTGTCCATGACGTACCTGGACTGAGATATTCGAATTTCAATGTCTACACAGTTTAGACAAAAACGGAAAAAAACATATGAATTATTCATATCTAGTGTTTTTTTACAATTCATTGATTTTCTAACCGGAAATTTCGATAGCCCTGTCGAAAGTTTTCTATCATATAAAGACCGTAATCGTTTTGATATCTTCTAATATTTTGGCGGTATAGAAATAAAAAAGATGATTTTTGATTCATATAATCAGTATATTATCAACGTTTTCGTTTTTATTGATAGTGAAAAAAGTATACAATGTTGCATATGACTATTATCACTTCAAATGGAGATGAAGATCTTCAATTAAATGATAAAAATAAAGATGTTTTTTGCACCAAGCACAAAGTAGCAGCGTTCGATCTTCACAATGGTCAATCGAGCAGTAAAGATCATAAAACGTAAAGTAAACGTCTTTTGGTTTCTCAATTTCACCGACCGTTTCGTTTGTTATTTTTGCTTGTACGAATCCACATTTAATGAGATTTTTGAATTGTGGAGCCGATAGTTGGTTGTGAACGACAGAATGCATATTAATGAAATATTGACGGTCGCTCATATTTATTTCTGTTCGATTTATATGAGTGTAATGCTCGATTTTCTTATGAATAAATCTGCATGAACGAAACAAAGATAAATCTTGTAGTTGAATGTGATCAGTTGATCCTTCAGGAAAAATCAATAATTTACTTTCTTGATTAGGAAATACTGCTCTAAATTTTTTCTAGATCAGCTTGAGTTTTCCAGCAGTTAAGAAAAAGAACTAATTTTCTACCAACCAAAGGGCGTACAACTTCATTTCGAAAAACGCGATGTCTTTCGCCGCTGCTTTTTTCAGATTTGGAAGCTTGTACTACAACATTTGGTGGTATAATTAAATTCTTCTGTACTATTTTACCAAATTGATCATCTTTTTCTTGAAGGATAAGTAAGTACTTGTCTAACAATGGATTATCAGCAGAGGTGACAGATTGCACTGTATAGGAGTGTGTTATACTATTCTTCTTTTTAACAGCCATTTCTGTTGTTTTTTCTCCAGTAAAAGACAGAGTTCTTGGAGAAACGTATTCTTGTTGAAATGAACAATGATCACTATTCAAAATTTGACGAGAAGAATAGTTAGAAATTACATCCCTTTTACTTTCAACCCAATCTTGAGCATTTGAAATAAACACATATATCTTAGTTATACAAATATACTTTGAATCTTGAATGGAAGTTTAAATACCTTTCAAACTACAAACATTTTTGGGCGAGCGGTTCGAATAATAAGTTTATTGTATCTTCGTGATGAAATTCTGTTCTCTTTTTTGAATCCTTATATAAACGATTTGTTTGCTTTGAAAGAACCTCAGCTCAATTCTCTTGCTTTTTTAATTGCATATAATTCCAAATCCGTATCATGAACAGCGTCTTTTTCAATTTCTCTTGTTACGTAAAATTCGTCCGACATGAATTCTTTAACACATTGGGCACGATTCAGTTTTCGTATGAAATTTCTGCAAGATGTCATTTTTATGAATAGTTCACTTCTAATAAATGCACTTAATGACCCTTTCGTTATCTTCTACTGATTATTTATCGTTCTCTTTCTTGTATTACTACATAATGAATCATTTTTCGCGAGTAACTAGAATTGCCTGAGTCAATTTTTCGTTCTTTTTCATGTTATATATAACATATGTGAGAAGAAGGAGGAAAATTCCAGGCTTTTCTCTGTTATTCTTATCCATGTGTTGTTTTACTATATAAAGACGAGTGAATTTTTGGAATAGTACACATGTCGTTCGAAGAAACCGATTCAGAAGAAAGCGTTAGCTCACGAAGTGAAGTGAGTTCTTTGGATGATGATTTCGATAGAATACATCTTGAATCTGAAAGCTCCGACGAAGAAGTGACAAATGACGAGGTCGATTCAAACGTCTGGAATGAAATAAAACCAGAATCGGATGATGAATTTATGGAAGATCATGGTCTCGTCGAAGAAGTAACTTCGACTTCAGGAGACAATACAATCGACCCTATCGATTGCTATCGGCATTTCATTACGGACGAAATTATTGACCTTATGGTTCGTGAAACTAATCGCTATGCGGAACAATATTTGCAAACTCATGAGATTAGCAGACGGTCAAAATTTCGTCAATGGAAACCAACCACTGATGAAGAGATGCTGAAGTTCTTTGGAATCATTATCGAGATGGGATTGGTACAAATGCCGAAACTGAAATACTACTGGAGCAGTAGTCAATTGTACGGATCAAAGATCATACGAAATGCCATGTCGAGAGAGAGGTTTGAATTACTCCTCAAATTTTGGCATTTTACAAACAACAATAACAAGAATTCGGACCACGACAGGCTGTTCAAGTTGAAACCACTCTCAGATTTACTCAAAGAGAGGTTTTCATCAGTATATATGCCTGGCTCAGTTATTAGCATCGACGAAAGTATGGTACCATGGCGAGGCAGACTTTTGTTCAAACAATACATCCCTGGAAAAGCACACAAGTACGGCGTAAAGATATACAAGCTAGCGGCTACCAATGGATACACCTGGAATTATGTGATCTATACTGGTCAGCAAGATCCTATGGCAGGTCGTGGACATGCTGAAGCAGTCGTAATGAATCTATTGAATGGTCTTTCGGGATGTTATCGAACCGTGGTGGCTGACAACTTCTTTACTAGTATTTCTCTAGCAAAACGTTTGTTGGAACAGGATACGTATCTTATTGGAACATTGAGAAGTAATCGTACTGGATCAGGATATGAAGTTGTTCAGAAAAAGCTCAAGCCTGGTGAGGTTTATGGGCTCCAGAACAAAATCGGTGTAAAATTGATCAAGTGGAAAGATAAAAGAGACGTTCTGATGATATCTACTAAACCATTTCATTCAGCAACTGTGGTGAACACCGGAAAAATCAATAAACTGAATGAACGCATCATGAAGCCGCAAGTTGTTCTCGATTACAATGAAGGCAGACAAGGTACTGATTTATCAGATCAACTATCAACATACCACACATGCCTGAGACGGTCAATAAAATGGTATAAAAAGGTGGCATTTGAATTGGTATTTGGAACTGCAGTGGTTAATAGTTATCTGATTTACAAGGAAAATTATGCGGCGAGCAACATACAGATTTTACAGTTTCGAGAAAGTCTTGTATGATCTTTACTCCTTGGTGCGCCAATCGAGAAGCTAAAACCTGGTCCGATACAACAATCAGCAAGTCATTCCAAGCGCAAACTCGCTGATCACAAGCTCGAAGAAAAGGAAGGATCTACGCGCAATGTTGGCAGACGATGTACTAGCTGCTATGCGAAGGGAAAGGCACAACAGTCAAGAGAAGCAAGCTATGCGGCAGCAAAGAAAGTGAAAACTTTTTGTTCTGACTGTGATAAGTTTTTTTGTCTAGAGTGTTTTAATGACAAGCATTATCCTATGGAATAAAGGACGCAAATAAAGCACTGAACACAGAACAACTGACACTTCATGTTTATAACCTCGTGCCTAAGAAAAAATCAAAAGAAAGTGTTCTTCTATACAGTTACTCGTAAAACCATAGCGTGGCCCACCGGTGGGCCACATCGTGCCCAATGTGTTAATTTTTTTCAGTTTTTCGTATGTTGTTCCATCTCTTTAAATGTATTCTCTAAATCTTAAAATATAATTTCTACATTTGACTTTTTGAAATCTATGTGCAATAGTGGAAAAACTGTAATCTGGGTGTGGGTGTGGGCACGATGTATGGTTTTTGGTGATGTTCTTCCTTCCTTCACACTCACATTCTCACTCGCACCCCACACCCACGCTCACCCCACATCCACCCAAATCCACTTAGCTTATGAAGGTATTACTCCAACACAAATCTGGGATCATCCACAAAATCATATTGATTCTCTTGAAAACATAAATTCATGGCGCACTATTATCTGATCCTTATAATAAAATAATTGTTGGAGAACTTTTATTTATTTATGATTCACGTGTATTTAACGCTATCAGTCGTGCAATTAATTTGTTTAATCATTCAGCAGATAATATCGAAATTAAAGTCAATAATGTCACTCAATGAACAAAAGAAGATATTAAACAATATATTCGCATTCATCGAGATAATTTTTTTCAATCATGTCTTCAGCTAGCTTATTTTAAACTACATGGACATAAACATGCACCAACTGATGAAATAGCATCCACAAGACGTTTTTATCGTGGAAGAACTGAAACATCACGAACTTGTATACCAGAAGTGGTTGCATGGTGTCGTGCAATGATAAATTCAAATAGTCAATTAACAGTAAAATTTATTTTTCTTCTTATGTTTGTCATACAGTTGATATATATATAGGAAGTTGAAAAAAAAAATTATTTCTTCTTGGTGCTAATCGTCATCAAAAAATAGTGACTGAAGCGTCGAAAAATCAAGATTGTGATTGACATTTATTTGGATTGAGTATGATACCATATATAATAGGAAAGCCATTTGAACTCGCAAATGATTCATCATGGATAAAAAGGTTTAAAAAGAAAAGATTTATTAGTTGTTAAATCGTTTTTGTTTTTAGTGGTGGCAGTGGTAATTTTATTCCATCTGTGAGTTGTATTGGTTTCACTATAACAGTAGGTGGAACAGCACCAATATGTTTCAATGGTTATGGGGTGTTTTATCGGCTTGGTAGTGATGCGTAAGTAAAAACAAATATGATCGTTATGATTTATTTATTTATTTATTACAGAATAACATTTGTTGTTGCTGCATATTGAAATTGCTTGGATACAAATGCATAAACATTGGCAGATTCGATTGAAAATACTTGAATTGAAATTAAAGCATCTTTTATGAAATCAAATCTGTAAATGTAAATTTTTTTTATAGGTTGATGCAATTAGTGGACATTATTTTTTTAATATCTGTATATGAAAATTATTTGAAGTTGAAAGACTTTTAAAAAATTTCTGAAGAAGTGCAATATTTAGATTTTTGTTTTCCTCTCTAATGGGTCGTTTACTTCCATTGAATTTTTATAAATATCATTAGTCTTAAAGAATTCTATAAACATATCTAGCAATGTAAGTAGAGTGCGTCAGGTTGGCTGCAAATCTGAGCAGCTCTAGTCAGCGAATAGAAAAAAGTCTGGAAAAGTATCTGATATCTTTGAGGTCACTCATCCAACCAATTAATAAAAAATAGTAAAAATGATCACGAGAAATGAAAAAATGTCACGTTTTTGATAATGCAACGGACATTGTCTATGATGGTTTTTAAATGCCTAGATGAAAATCATAAAACATGCACCAAAATGTCACCATGAATAGGATAGAAAAAGAACTAACTATTATTTCACGTGATTTAACTATACAGCTACACACGACCTAACATGGTCTTTGTGTTAACATATTCTTTCTATTAATAAAGTGGTATGTACAAATACAAACTTGTAGATAAAATTCAACTTGATCGTTTTCATTACTTATTTTCATTGGACCAGTTGAATTGGTTTGCTTCGACTCTAGACCATTTCCATCCACAATGATAGTGCCCTGCGTTGCTTATTTAGGCCAACGTATCACTGGTTCAATAATACGATGATTCCAATAATCAGAGATGACCATTATTTGACCAATATCAAGAAAGATACTGTACTGGCTGTTCAGTTGAATTGTGACATTGTCTTCTCCTTAGCCTTCAGCAACCGGCACTCCATCGTGTGCCCAGTGGGTATTGGCTGGAATATTGGGAATCACTACAAGTAACGAAAAAGAGAAGGAATGAACTTTGTCTACGAGAGCCGTTCTCTCACATGAGCAACAGGAACAAATATGACATTGGTTTTCGAAATAGATCAGGTAAAAATGTTGAGAGTGTTCTTTCCAGCGGTAAAATTTTAGAGCCCTTTCCTAGTTTTGTATAAAAAATGCCGCGGAATGATACTAATATCTATGTCACTTCTACTAATCTCAACTTTGTATATTCCTTGATAAACTCGCCTAGAGTCTATGACAATCCGTATTTGGTGGGACTTGTTTAGGTTCTTGCTAAGATCTTTTACATTTTAAAAATAGAATTGTCGTGTGGAATGAATCATCTAACTGGAGCGGCTGGTATATTTGTGGAGTTAGTCGAGGGTGTATGCGTATTGTTGAAAAGAATACTCACAACCACAATTCAATTTGATGTGATGCGACTGAATCAAATCAAATCAAATCGAATTGAACCGAACCCATCGATACCATCCTGTTCAAATTCATCAATTCTGTTGTATTTTGGATGCGTGCAGAGATTTAAACGTACCAGCTGCCGTTGCAGGACAAAATCATTATTAGAAGTATAAATTTTCTAATTTCAACCTCTCACATAAATTGTCTACATGTCAGTGTCTTTGTCCTTCATCTTTAGAACACTCTGCCATAAAATCAGCAGTGTGACTGAAACGTCTTTAAAGGACTTTTCGAAAGAACAAAATAACAGTGTGGAAATAAATTTTTACGAGCTCTCTGTCGTCATCAAACAGCTTGAATTTTGACATGCTTCTCTTGAGAAAGGTAATTAAAATGTTTGATACACATAGACATAGCCTTCAAAAATAAGAAGAAATATTAAGAGCAACCATCAATATACATTCTGTGCTTATTAGTATCTTACTGAGGCGACTGACTCAGTAATACTACCAGCTATGAAGCATAAATTACGTACAAAGTTGCATTACTGATCATTAATGACATATTCATCCGATTCGATCGTTAACGCTCTCTTGAACTGCAGCGTTTACTCTGTCACAACTAAATGATTTACCTTCATTTTTGCACGTTTAGCCATTGAAAACATAACAGAGAGAGCTATAAATGCGTTTTCTTTTGTCCCCGATGTGAATCACATTTATTTTGAAGAAAGGCTGCCAAGCGAACCCAATATTCACACGAATCAGACGAGCATACAACGACAACAATGAATAAAGAGAAATATGATATGTTCTATAGAATCGAATCGAATAAGATAATCAATTGTTCAATTTTTTTCCTCTGATATATACTCCAAATTTCACTGCGTTTTCACACATTTCAATATTACAGTTCGTTTTTGTCGCTATCCTGATTCATCTACTTTATTTAAAGACTCTTCGGTCCTTCTCTCCCTTTCGTACAACAAAATGAACTGCATATGTAAGGATGTATTAATGATGAAGAAATAAGTTTAACAAAGGTTGAGCTTTTGCTTGAATCTGTAGATCACTGTTTGTTTTTTACTTGCTGTCGGTGGACAGAATTGTCGATCACAACTCGGCACCAGATAACAAACAGAAAGACTTGGTATCAAGGATGATGAACACATCTATGATTAGGTTCATGACATAGGTTGTTTGAGTGTTCGCATGGAACTAGCTAAGAACAGTCCACGAATCCATGGCTACAAATGCCTATATCATTAGCACCTGCTATATGGCATTCGCTCAAAGTGAAGAAGCGCATGATGTAATCCTTCGATCAAAAGAAATTCCATATAATCCCAACTTTCACCGGAGCACAATTTTTCTTCAAAACAGTTTCTATATAGAAGAAAATAGGATCATTAAACCAACAAGAAATTGCTTTTATAACACAAGCATCCGATACACTCGTGCTATCATTCGACATATGAGCATTGTTATTGTCAATCATTAATGAACTATGTAATGACGGCTTAGAACGAATGCCATTTTTGCAAGGGGGAAAAAGCAGATTTTAAGATTTTAAGATTTTAAAAGATTTTGAAAGATTTTGAAAGATTTCAAAAGATTTTGAAAGATTTCAAAAGATTTTGAAAGATTTTGAAAGATTTGGAAAGATTTGAAAGATTTTGAAAGATTTCGAAAGATTTTGAGAGATTTCAAGAAGTTTGAATCTACTCCAGTTAGAGGAAATCTGCGTGTTCTAATAAAGGAGATGTGTCATACTACGGAATATGCGTCTGAAAAGTCTGAACCCAATTTTATTATTCTGAGAATCAGCATTCATACTTTGGCTCCCTCAGGGATCAAAAAAAAAACTTGTATCTTCGTTTTTGTAGAGGCACTTCCAGTTCGATTGAACTCAGCATGCTGATTTCGATCATCACACTTATTTTCAAAATTCGTCTGATAAAAAGAAACATCTGAAGCACTTTCTGGAATCCCTAAAAACCAGTTTTTGACCTGCAAGTTCATCAAAGTTCCATTGTAATCCAAGAAAAATAGGCTCATTCGCGTAGAAGTTTTTTCTCTACCAGAACCTATAAGAAGGTCCTAAGTATTCAAACCTTTTCAACCGATAATTGGCAAATACCGCCTCGATTGGGTCATATGGTTGCAAATAATGATTATTTCGGCTTTTTAAACCTACATTTTATACGGGTGCACCAGGAGATTTTTTTACCAGATACGCAATTCAACTTTCTCTTTCTGATGACACCATTTTCAACTTGAAATTCAATGTTTAGTAAAGTGCTTATGCTATACCTACTATACTTGAGAGTCATTTTGGGTTAGTATTCGATGGTTTTCGACTAGAACGAACTAGGTTTGGTTTTAAAAACACCATATTTGAAATCAGCACAAAAACCTCAGTTCAATTATGCGTATTTCAAATTGTTTCTGCGGCATTTTTTTCTGCCGAATTTTCACCCATGGTCTCCCTCAGGGATATAAGGAAAAATGAATTCTATCAGAAAAACGTTTGGTCAGTGGAAAAGTAGTTCTGGACTTGTAAAATGTTATTTGAAAAACAAATTATAGGTGTATAGATATTTAAATGGTGGTTTTAATGAAATTCATTTTTCCTTATATTCCTGAGGAGGACCATGGGTCGAAATCTAACTGAAAAAAATATCGTAGAAAGAATTCGAAGCACACATGCGTTGATTGACACTTTCGGACACTGATTCCAAATATAGCATTTTTCATGTCAACCAGGCAGTGGCGTAGCCAGGATTTTTATACCAATGGGCAAACTTCTCTTATGCTAGAAAAAATGATGGGCGAAATGGGCAAGGTTTTCATTGATGGGCCAAAAGTTTTTTGACCCAACCAAGTACTGATAACGTAAAAAAACACAAAAAAATGAAACGAGTTTCTTTTAATGAAATTTGCATAAAAGTCAGATCTTAAGGTCCCCCCCTCCAAAAAAAAGTCAATTTTCGTCAAAAACATGAAAATTGAGATAAGTGTGTGAGAAGATAGTCGGAAATCTGCCCTTTCAAAAGAGATATAGCTTTTTATTTCCTACATTGTTTTAGCAAAATTTTTGATTTTTTCCGTCACTACCTACTTGAAAAATAAGCTGGTTTTTGGTGAAATCGAAAAATCTTTTTCGTTTTTTCTCAGTTCATGATTTGTCGAACGCTCAAACCAAACTTCTCCGACCAGGCTAATTATATAGGATGGTCCAAAAGTAACCGGGTAGTCTTTGATTACGAATCACTTTTGATAGGAACAAGATAGAGAGTTGCGGTTTTCATCGTTTAAAAGAGAAAAAACTGCATCGAATCTTGAATACCAGATTTTTATGACCATATTCACTCGGAGTCTCCAGACAACTTTTGTGACGCAAATATTTTTGTAATGTAAAAGTTTTAGAATTTTAATTTTCAGTAGTGCATCAGAATCGTTAACTGAAGTTCAATAATCTGTGTCGGTTCAATGCCAAAAAGATTTAGCAAATCATTAGTTCTTAGCATTTTACTACGTGTTCTCAGCAGATTCTTGGAGAAAAGCCGACGTTTTCTCGGAGCTTTTGACGAAAAATCCACCTTTTAGACCTATTTAAAAAGCCTAAGTTTTTTAAAGAAACTTGTCCGAAAACCATGAGAAATTTTGTTATAAAAATCCAGTATTCAAGATTCAATGCAGTTTGTTTTCTCTTTTAAACGATAAAAACCGCAGCTCTCTATCTTGTTCCTATCAAAAGTTATTCGCAATCAAAGACTGCTCGGTTACTTTTGGACCACTCTGTATGCATTTTATTTTTTTTTGTTTGAAACAGCATGTCAAAACGTGCGGCACCAAAGAGTCCTTCGTTTTAGTTAAGCTTTTTTCTGTTATATGTACAATCACTTTTATAAATTGAGCTCCATTTTTAGAGAGTTGTTTGACTCATCGAACTTGTAGTTCCTTCTCTCTTTTCAAGAAATCAAAATTCAAAAAAAAAATGAGTCTTAGGTGCCCTGCATCCTAACATGCTCTTTCAACCAAAAAAAAATTAAACATATATAAAGACCCTGAGTCAAAAAAATTGGGATGCCGAATCAGTTATTTTTGAACCTTGTTTGGTGGATATCTCTGTCAAACGTCATGGTATAGAACTGAAACTTTCATCATAGCTTCTCCACTATAGCTACAACGTATTCTCCGAATGTCATGGCATTAGAATGTTCCTGGACTGATATTGATTTTTGAAGGTGGAGAGACCTTAACACTGAGTCATGTGTGTTTAGTCTATTTTGAATATCTCTATTTATAAGATTTATATTTCAAATTCAAACACCTAAATCAAGACGACGATGATGCATTTGTGTATATAATTTGCATATTTCATCTGGATTTATATTGAGATCTTTATAGATGTATGCAGCAGCAAAGAACTAAACAATTTAGAAAATTCAATGGGCAAAGCCTTACTTTTAAAAATTACAATGGGCAGCTCTTAAAATGAAATGGGCGACTGCCCATTTGCCTCCCCCTTGGCTACGCCACTGCAACCAGGGTTACTTCTACCCAAAAACCATCGAAAATTAGTCAAAAAAAGACAGACATTGGCTATAAAGTACCCTGGTTAAGGCAAAAGTGCTTTACTAGACATCGGATTTCAAGATCAAAATGGAATGAACAGAAGGAGTAGAGTGAATTACATATTCGGTAAAAAAAATCAAGCTGGCACGCCCGTAAAACCTATAACTTCATAACGCTCAAAAAAACATTCCCAACCATTGCAAGATCCAATCTGGGCGATATTTGGCATTTTTCGATGGAAAAACATTGAACGTCTAAGACATTTTCATAGATTCTGATAGAGAAGTAAAACTTTGCAGGAAATGAACCTATTTTTCACGAACCTAGTTTGTGTTTTAATGAACTTTCGGGTCAAAAACTATTTTTTAGGCTTTCAGAGAGTGCTTCAGATCTTTCTTATTATCTGAGTACTTTTGAAAAAAGTGTGATATTTGTAATGAACACGCTTACCTCTATCAAACTATAAAAACTTGTAATAGAACTGTGATAAAAAATTCTCTCGATACTTGAGGGCGACTACTGGTGAGAAATAATTGAGTTGTGACAAAAGCAAAAAACCCTATGAATAATACTGAGGACTCAATGCTGATTCTCAGGCTAGAAAAATTAGGTTCATATTTTTTGGGACGCTAGATTCATAATGTGACTTATCTTCTTTCTCCGTCTGGGCTCACTCTATATCATTATTTAATGCTTTTTTTTTGTTTGAAAGAGAATTTCTTAGTGCAGTGTAGTATATGATCTTTCATTAAATTCTTACTCTTTACGTAGAGAAAGGGAATCACAAGTTCAATGACGCAGAAAACCCTTAGTAATGGGTGTCTACTTATGTATTGTCTATAAATATAACCCAGAATATCTTAATTAACAAACAGGACTGTATTACACTGCAGCGTATCATGTTCTTTAAAACAAAAAGAAATAAAATGTAGAGAATAAGAATGAACAGAGAAATTTGGATTGAGCAGCCAAAAAATCATACTGAGAAAAAATGAAAAAGATTTTTTGGTTTTTCTGAAAACAGCTTATTTTTTCGATGGAGGGATGACGAAAACTTTCAAAATTATCGAAAAAAAACGAGGTGTCGAGTAAAAATTTTGGTCGTTGATGAAAGAACATATTACGGGTTATCTTCCCATGCATTAATCTCAATTTTGATTATTCTGGTGAAAAATGACTTTTCTGCTCGGGCGACGGGAGTGGCGGCGAAAGCTTAAACAATGAGAAAATACTATGCAAAACACAGTCAATTATTCTGTTCCACCCTTTACTTTGAGATAACTTGACAAATGATCAAAATTATTAATATTTATAAAATAAAGATGTTAAAAAAGTGTACCCTAAACTTTGATTTTTTTAAAGTTAAACTGTCAAGTATGTCAATTTAAACTTTAACTTTAAAGTTTTAGATAGTTACTTTAACTTTAACTACTTTTTAAAGTTTTTTAAAGTTAAAGTGTCACTCCTAATTGCGACCCTTCATTGGCGAATCTTAGTGGAGTATTCTTAAAGAAAACATACTAGATCTTATGTAGATCTTTTCTAAAGCATACCTGCAGTGAACTTTTCAGGTTGATGACAAGACGTTCGTCGACGCCTCTCTTGTGCCCACTCACGACTATTCGCTCTCTTGCTAAAGTCTACCTCCTGGAAAGATCATCCTGTATCATTTACACTGCCAAAGTCACATTGTACTTTTTTCCACAAGATGATTGAATTGTAAGTTGCAGGGTTCTCGATTGAAACTTGAAAGTATCAGGGTCATTATGAGGTTGTCTATAAACAGAGTGCATCGCATCTATATTAATGAAATATCAGTGTGATCCTGAAACTGATTGCTCAACCAGAACAAAGAAAAAATGAGTCCTGACGAATTATGCATAGTAAGTTAATCTACCTTGCTCACTTCCAAGCATGAAATCTCTGACTGGATCAAAGTTACAGTTGAAAGCATAAATATATGTGGTAGACTGAGAATCCTGCCCAATAATATGATAAGACGAAACTCAGACACGGAAAAAAGCTTAAAGACTGAAATTTCGGTCAGAAAAAAGATTGGTCGACAACTGGATATTCCCAACATCCGATTCCCAGAGAATCCGATAATTGGCAGGATGACTCCACAAGACTCTAAGCGTAAAAATACTTGTTTGACTGATATTTCACTACAAAATTCGATTGAACAAGAGAAAAACACGAAAAGAATCTGATTAGCTAACAATATAGCTCAAAGTATAGCCATTTAATAATAATAATAAAAGGCTGAAAGTTAAGCTGAAACCGAAACAAAACCGAAACATAGGATTGGTAATCAATGATTCGAATCAATGATAATCAATCATATTTTTTGATTTTCGATTTCATTATCGATCTTTCTCATTACCCTTAGCAATCTTAGTTAGTTAAAGTAATGCTTCGAATATATATATGAGGGTACGTGACTGCAAATAAGCATACATATACGTACATAAACTTATTTTATTTCATCTATAAGCTCGTCCTTTAAGTTAAGGGAATACAGTACTTAAAAGATCTCGGGCCAAGCTAACCACTTCCTATACTGTTTTCAGCGATTTTGAGAGATTTTGAAAGATTTTGAGAGATTTTGAGAGATTTTGAGAGATTTTGAAAGATTTTGAAAGATTTTGAAAGATTTTGAGAGATTTTGAGAGATTTTGAAAGATTTTGAAAGATTTTGAAAGATTTTAAAAGATTTTGAGAGATTTTAAAAGATTTTGAAGATTTTGAAAGATTTTGGACGCCAAAATCTGCTTTTTCCCCCTTGCATTTTTGACATAAGCATATCCAGTTTAAGAAAAGGTTTTCGAAAATACTGGTGTAGCTACGCATTTAACAAAGGCTGGGATTGTTCTCAAGCAAACAAGTTATTTCACCAATGAAACTAATGTTTGCCCCTCTCAAGGAACTGTTTCTGACGGTTTGTTCTCTTCCTGTGAAGAATTTCCAATCACGACATAATTCTAAAAAAAAAGTCTTGAGTAAAATACTCATGTTCATGTGATTCAGTCATGTTCGACTTTAGATCTTAGACTCACTTCTCAGCTCTTAAGTGAAGGATGTTCAATTTTTTTCTTAACATCGCTCTGTCAGATCAGAGCTTTGACTACAAGAATCTTCCTTTAATCTCACCATCATGATTCTTTTTGTTATCATTTACTATCAAATACAGATCGAAGATGCTAGTTTGTGTGAGACGATATGAATGTGCTTTCTTCTCAAAAATGTGGATCAACAAGCTTCTACTCAATAATACTGAATCTTGAAGAGTTGTGTGAAAAACAATGGTAAATTATAAATGGTATTCTATCCTAAGATCTTGAAGGGAATGAGGAGGGGCATCTCCAAAAATTTGAACATAAAACTTACACTTGCTATTTATCCTCGGAAATGGACGTCAGCTCCACAAAATAAAAGAAAAATCATGGCAATAACTGAGGTCTTTTACAAAGGAAGTTTTACTGAAGCAAAAAGAGACATGCAGAAGAAAACAATTGTTTACAGGATATCATTTACGGATACCCTCCATGGTAAAAATAAACATCATATATAAGATCATTGAAAAATCTGTTGACCAAACTTGATATCTATTCTTCAGAGATCTTTGATTATTTCTTACAATCTCGTCAGATGTTCGATGTAACAGTAAATAATTTTTCATTAGCTGATTGCGTAGCTCTAGCATAGAAGACAACGCATGCGAACTACGATAAATCGTGTCATTCTGTCACCTGTCAACAACTTGCATTTCATTCATATCTACGAAGTATTATCATATACGTATTCTATATATATAGAAGAAAAACAAAACTAATTTATGTATTGAAAATTTAATAGTAATAATGACATAGTATAAACATAATACTGTCAATAGGTTTGTTCAGAAGCTGCTGGCAATGCTGGAACAACAGCTCTTCGTCGACATCTTTCTATTTTACGCCATATTATTTTCCATGATTGAAAAAGTCGAACATCAAGTACAGTGATAAAAATCGGATCAGTTTTTATTTCTATATAATTGAGCAGAGAAATATAAATGCCAGGTTCAGTATTAACATTAATAAATTGAAAAGCAAGTACATTTGGACTCCATAATGCAAGCCAAATTGAATAAAATATTATTGTACGAATTAAAAGACTTTTTTTATGTTTATGACGAAGATTAATTATTTGTTGACTATGAATACCTTTTATTGAACTTACATGACGAATACAAAATGCTATGACAGTAAGATTCAAAGCAACTGGAATAAGATAGATAATAAATAGATTAAATATTTCTACAGTTAAAGAACTGTATATTATATCACAAGACTCGCCTGCTGTATGCAATAATATAGTCCAGTTACCAAAAATTTGTATCGTGATATTAAGTGCTGGTAATATATAAATCAAAAAATGAGTTAAAATAATTAAACGAGGATTTTTTATAAAAACATTTCGATTATATATAATTTGCGCGCCACGACATATATTTAGTGCAAGCAAAATATAACTTTGTACTATATTAATATAAAATTTTAATGTTGCTTCAAAATAACATAAGATTACTTGAAGTGTCGGATACAAGCATACATCCCACCGACGCATACAATAGAAAATAAAAAATCGAGTTAGAAGAATAAAATCCGTTATTAAATATGCATATAGCCACATCATATTTCTTTGTCTTAATGATGAAAATGATATAACTTGAATCCAAAAGATAGTATGAATAGCAACAGCTATTGAACAAACAACAATAATAGGACTAAGATTATAGACGGACTTCGACGACCAATTTAGAGAAGTACAATTCATTCTTTTTCTGCCACAACTATTTTCTGTGAAAGATTTTATATTCTGTAAAGAAAATTGTTTTGAGAATAAGTCACTTCTATAGTATTATCTTTAATCTAACGATTAGCATGAGAAGATTAATTGTCATAAAAAAAGAGAGAAAAATGAAATACCTACGATAACAATAAACTAGCTTACCATCACCATTTGTAATGATGATTATGAACATCCGTGCCTTCAGAATGTGACTACTTCACATACGACACCCATTAATATAGGTGAGAGAAAGAGGGATGACCGTATGAAAGAAGAAAAGAAAAGAAAAAGTCAGCGAGAAATAGGTTTATTCTTGGCATAGCTATCTCATTATTATTATCGTTATGCATCATCAAATTTGATGACTTGATTTAGAAGAAGTCATAATTCTATGTGAATCCGTACGACCTATCTTATTATAGGCTCTATAACCGTGCAAAGGATGAACAAGTCATTTTAACGAATAATAAGATTTTTAATGTTACCATATTTCTCATTGCATTTACATAACGAGTAATGTTCATCGACATTAAATGTCGATTCCCTTGGCCCTAGACTGACGGAGTGATGACAAAGATGTCCTTATATTTTTAAATAAAAATGATTTCTGTATAATGATGAGTTTATGAGAAATTATTACTACGAGATAAACTAATTCATCAATCATTTTTATATTACAAAAATATATATACAGTGAAGCTTTCCACCTCTTTCAAAGGATCATTATCAACACTAAAGTGATATGAAAGAAATTTTAGATTATATATATATAGACAAAAACAATTAATTTGTATATATATATATAATCTAAAATTTCTTTCGTATCACTTTAGTGTTGATAATGATCCTTTGAAAGAGGTGGAAAGCTTCACTGTATATATAGTTTTGTAATATAAAAATGATTGATGAATTAGTTTATCTCGTAGTAAGTTTATTTCATTATATTTTATCAAACAACATTAATATGAGAAATTATTAATATTTGTAACATGTTGTATATTACATACTATAGATATATTCAAATAATTCACCGAAAATATTGAAAGATGCTAATGTATATGCTAAAGTTAATGCTTTAGTTAATTATAACGACTAACCTGGTGATTTTTGTCAAAGCAATGGCCATTTCTAATACGGACATGCCCATTTGAGGCATCAGAATGATCAACTGTGCCATATAAATGGTTGATTGTGCCGTGGAAATGCTGAATTGAGCCATAGACACGGTCATCTGTATAATGAAAAGGGCCAATTGTGTCAAATAAATGGTACCTGTACCACGAAAGTGGTATTTTTGTACCATGAAAATGGTCACTTGTACCACGACTACGGTACTTTGTACCACGAAGATGGTCACTTGTACCAGGTGTAACAGACAGGCAGACACAGGTGAATTACGGTTTCTAGATCCTGCCCTTTCAGTCTAGCGAAAAGTTAAAAAGCTAAATTGTAAATTTTCTTAAAATAAGACAAAAACATAGAAGAAATGCCAAATGTTCTGCATATTTTCATTAACAAAAAACAGCAAAGAAGATCGATTATAGCGTTTCACCCATTAAATGTTGGTTAATCAGATTTGACTTCTTTTGATCAAACTAGACAAGTATTATTTAGTCAGCCTTAGAGAGGTGGGAGACGATTTACAGTTACACTATTGGTCCTGATCCAGCAGAAAACTCCAGACATCGCTGATTATGAAAGGCGAGAATGCAAAATAATAAAAATGTTGGTTATGTCCTAATTAAATAATCACATGTCGGATATGTATAAAAGGAAGTGCAATCATCAAGATAACAATTAACAAAACTAGGATACCACAGATGACTCTGCCTACATTAAGTACAGAGTCGTCCTGAATATGAATACGTTGAATTAACTAGTCTTTCTCTAGTAAAACGAGGTGGCTTGGGGATTTTTGGGAAGTAATAAGTTTTTATCGCTCCTCCGAATGGTTTTTAGAGGAAGCAACGGCTATTCTTTGTAGTGCTCGTGTGCTATCCATAATCTAACTTCAATTCTTTTGGGGACAGTAGATGAAAGTTATTCAAGTATCAGGCGGCAAATTTTAGGAAGAAGAAAGTCAATTCGAGATTGCGTTAATGGCTTTGGATGAACGACAAACTTCCCATATCGCTTCTTCTGAAAGAAGTAGAAGATTGAAAATAATCCAAAAGGTTGATTATGTACTGTTTAAATGATCTCATGTCGAATATGTATAACAGGGAAACGCATTCATCAAGATTACAATAAACAGATTCATGAGACTGCATCAATTCTCGTATAATAGCTACGACGTCGTATTGAATATGTATGTTGAATCGGGTAGTTTTACTCCATTATACAAAAGAAAGCATGAGCACTTTGGAGAAGCAATACACTTTTATTACTTCCCAAAAATTTCTTTGGGGGAAGCAGTTCCTGCTCCTTGTAGTGTCGATGCGCCGCCCATGTTGCTGTGGATATGACGAAGGTGGCGCCGTCTATGGGCATATGAACATTACGCAATTGAAGTTGATAATACATACATATTGATTAATAGAGAAAGGTTTCATCTATAAGTCTACATTTATTTATCCTGTTCTGAAGTCAAAACCTTATAGGTGTCTTGAACTATATCAATTTATAATCTGTAATACGTGATCTGGTAACTAAATATGTGATAAATTTGAGTATGATACAATACAAAACGTTTGGGTGTGGGTGAGTGTGAGTGTGCGTGGGGTGTGAGTGTGAGGTGTGTGTTGATGTGGGGTGTGGATGTGAGTATGGGCAAATGAAAGGAGAAACCATACTCACACCCACACCCACACCCGCGCCCACACCCCACGCACACTCACACCCATCCACATCCACACCCACACACCCCACAGCCGACATCCACACCACACTCACCCCCACCCACCCACACCCACATACCCACACCGACACCCACACCCACCCACATACCCGCCCACAGCCACGCGCACCCCACACCCACGCTCCACAGCCGCACCCACACACACTCGCCCACACTCACACCCACCTTACACCTACACCCACCCTACATCTACACCCACACCACATCCTTGGTAATTACTCATACTATAGAACGAAACTACCAAATAATTTCGGTAAATACCAACTTCATAGAAGGAAATTTATTTGTAATTGCAAAAAATACGAGCACCTGCAGATGAAACTACCAAGAAATTTCCGATATAAATTAGTTCTGACTCAATACTTGCTGAGAAATTACTCAGCTTACCATGAAACCATAAAGAAGACTCCACAAAATTTCAAGCTACCTTAACACACGAGAAAGACTTTTTCTGGAAATTTCTGAGAAATTTCGACAATTACTAGGAAATTTCTATAATTTCTAAAATTATATCATGTAGATATGATAAGATAGATATATATTCAAGAACCCTCACCCCAAGAAGTAGAAGAATTGTTGATAATTTCGGTAAATACTAGAAAATTTTAGTAATTACGAAAATTTCTTGTTTCTTTATTTATATCATATAGATATCAAAATTTTCTAGTAATTACCAAAATTTCTCAGAAATTTTCAGAAAAAGTCTTTCCCGAGTGTTAAGGTAGCTTGAAATTTTGTGGTGTTTTCTTTATGGTTTAATTGTAAGCTGAGTAATTTCTCAGCAAGTATTGAGTCAGAACTAATTTATATCGGAAATTTCTTGGTAGTTTCATCTGCAGGTGCTCGTATTTTTCGTAATTACAAATAAATTTCCTTCTATGAAGTTGGTATTTACCGAAATTATTTGGTAGTTTCGTTCTGTAGTAGCAGTAATTACAGAAATTTCTGGGGAAATTCCTTGCTGAGGTGAAGATAATTTCCGAAACTTCTGAGAATTTTCGTTGGTATGTTTATGGAATTTTGGAAATTTCTATCTCGTATAATGGTAATTGCTGGAATTTCTGCGAAATTTCTATTTATACGCATGAATATCTTGAAATGTGTATCGGAGAAAATCTGTTATTTTCGGAAAGTTCCTTTTTCGAAAATCTGAACATATCTCAGTTTGAGAGTGAAATACTAAATTATTAGTCACGCTAACTTTTTCGATTATAAATTAAACAATGCAAAATTTTCGTCTGAAAATTCTTTTCTATGGTTTCACCTTTTCAGGAAAGTGTTTACGTTCTTATATTGCACTAGAGACCAAAAAAAGCAAAAAATCGTGCTTTCTTGACGATCGTGAAACTGATTAACACGATAAAAGTTATACTCCAAAGGTCATCTGGAAAATTCCAACTTGTATAAGACTACCAACGAACCACACTCTTTCTATTGCGCAAATATGTAACTCATCGTTGGTATGTGTGCACACCTTTTCATTACTCTCTTGCGTTCTTTTCAGCAAAACAAAAGGCTTTTATACAAGAAAAAAGTCATTCGATACAATCATTGTATATAAAAAGGTTGGTCACGTCATCTATTGATGCACTCGAGTGTGGCAGCAATAACCTCGAATGGCTCTGTGTTCTGAATATGCTATCATCAGGCTTGATGCTCATATTGGATTACCCGATCACTGTCAAAGAATGAAGCAAGAATTTCAACTGGCTTTTGCAGAAGTTATAGTCATTCCACCACTATTGTACGATTCAATCGAAAGTCTCCTTTTTGGTATCAACGAATACTATGCTCCACTTTTGTTTGCGGACACAAAAGAAAGAGTATTAGACCTAATTAAAACAAGATGCGCTCACCAAAAGGTTATATTAATTGCGTCACCCTCAATGAGTAGAGAGATTATTCCTAAAATTATTGATCATAATTTACCAGTTGAATAATTTTATATTTTCTGTGACCATATGACGTACCATACAGATTGGGCTCTTGAATATGTTGATAATGGCTTGGATTTACAAATGTTCGACTTTGAGACTGATCTAATGGTGAGGCTCAGTCGAGATATGAGCAAGAAATTGATCGCAGAAGGAAAAATCATGTTATCGACAAACTATCCTGCATTCGCGTTGAAATACTTTGAGTATGCTTATGCTCTTGTGGAGAAGGCCACCCAACGTAATTACTATCGATTTAAAGATCATCGGCAAGTGTTGGATGGCGAGAATGGTCCTATTGTGCAAGAGAAAAAGCCATGGAATAAAGATTTTTGTTAAAAACTGTACTTCGTTATTTTTACATGTTTACATTGCCGAGTAACATCTTGTTCAAGTTGGAAGCAACGAAACTATGCCAGGCAAGAGCCTTGAAAATGAATGATTATTTTTAACAAACACTTTTTATAGATAAATAAACTTGTTGTGCACTTTAACCTAAATGATCATTTGTTTTAATGAGATCATGCAGTATCTACTAGGGCCGATCAGACCTCAGTTTACAGTTCAGATCGAATAATAGAAAGAATTGGTCGAACAGATCAGGTTCTATCAAAAAAATCATATGAACCGTTCTCTTGATCGAAATTGATCTGTTCGAGCAGTTCAATTCTAGGAACTGATCCATCCAAGGTTAACGAGCTACTTAAGGATGATCCTTATAACTTCAAAGGCCATCTGGGAGCCATTACACAGTAGAGACGACCCAAGAGCGAGCCATATGCTTCATTGACATCACGGAGTCCCGTGAAATTATGCTGATTGTAGCCCAAGGGAGGGAAAAGCGTACTTCTGCACTTTTAAAGTAAACAAGTACGCTTTTTTCTTCTTTGTCGTCAAACAATAAAACGACTTTGATCGAAGTTCTTGAGATTATCACCTAGGCTCTCTATAACATTAATGTGAATGACGATTTGATTAATGAAAGTTTGGCTTGAACAGTAGTCCGTTTTTTCATATACACTTTCTTTGTTACAGGTACGGCAATCGTGTGCAAAGAGAAGCGAGCTGAATACGATCAACAGACGATAGCCATGGTTGGAAAGAACGGATTACCTAGATCATAGCAATGATGTAACCGTTTTGTCTCGAAGAGAAAATGGTTTTAACACGTTTAAAAAGTTTTTTTTTTTTTGTTACAACTTGATGTTTATTTTTCGAAGACAAGACTTTTCTTTTTTTCCATTTACTATAGATAAAAACTGTAGCTGTTCGCGGACGGAACAAATTGAAATCGTTAGATGACAAGAATGTCACAAGTAGATTGAAACTTTGCGACATCTTTGGATGATATCGTCGAAGCTACTCTTGATATTATTGGTGATCCCATAAAACGCCAACCGTTCATCAAAATTCAGTACTCTTCTTCTAGACATAGTTGTCGAATACATGGCCAATAAGGTCGTATTTCAACGCAAAGCATTCGATTGGATGAATAAACATGAATTTTGATATACCTACGATTCTGTCTCATATCTATTTTACATATGATCAAACGAAACGACCATGAAGTGTTTTTTCCCTACCTTCCTACATTTATATGTGCACACACGTGTTTGCAACAAGATGAAAGGTACGGTCATGAAAGTGGATATGTGTTTTTCTTTATTTTTCTAACTCTATCGCTCGACGAGGCTTTTTCTGTTCTTTGACTTCCCACACGCACCACACCAAAGAAAAACACAACTCAAGCATCAAAGACGAGTGATTCATTCATTTTACATCTTCCTTTCTTTTTTTGCTTCAAACGTTAATTGCTAACTGGTTGCGCGTTTTGGAGTTGTCGTAGCGTCGTATTATTTGACCAAGAGTAGATGGGGAACGTATCGCACAATAATTGAAAGGATTTTTTCTAACTAGTTTCCCGTCTAATGTGTGCTACATAGCATGTGCGGGTAAGTTTTCTAGGATCAATAGAATGAAATATGATTTATCCATTTAATTTTTCGATCTGTTTAAATTCCAGAGTATACCTTTTGTTTTAGTGTTATATGTCGGATGTGGGATTTTTCCAAGTTAGCTAACACAAAATGAAATTTATCAAACGGTTCGATTATAAATAGATGCTTAAACAACATAGCTGTCCTATCGACATTTATCCGTGTTGTATTTCGTATGGTGAACTCTCCTTTTGTTCTTACGTGGTTCAAAAAAAGGTTACAGACATGGATTCTTCAAAATGACGATACTTTTTGTGGAACGAATTTCGTTGATAAGACAGAAAGTCGAACGATTCTGGTTTTTTTCTCAAGTTTTTAGCCATTTTTCGAGTACGCATATTTAAATGAGATCGAAATCGAAAATTTCTGACTATGCAGTTCTCTAGTCCTGAGTAAAACATGGTAAATAAATTTCAGATCATATTAACATGGTTAGAATGCATCTTCTACGGTTTATTCCAGTTGATCAAGAAAGAGGCTTCACTTGTAAAGCAAAATTTGTAAAAATTCAGTTAAGAGTTTGTTAATAAAACGGAAAAAAACTTCAAGAATCCGGTGAAATGCCGAGTTCTATACACACTGCAATAGGCTTTCAGGCAATTCTAATGTTCATTTGATTTTCTTTACTTTTCGAGTGAGAATTTAACTAATTGAAGAGTAAGAATATGTCGAACTCGTCCCCAGAATATAATCAATTAATAAAACGAGAAATAACAAGAAAATTTTCCGATAAAAGATGTTTCGTTTCAGAGGAACAAAAAAATACGGCATTTTTAAACGTGAACTCTGTAAACTAGAGCATAAACTTTCAGATATTCCGAATAAATATTGTTTTTTTAGAAATTCAGAGACTTAAATGGCAAGAAGAAACGAAAAAAAAACAAATCATAAACTGAATAGAGACCATTTGAAAGTGTAATGCAAATATTGCTGGAAATTTTCAAATATATTTACATTAATAATAGAGTCACTTCTTTTCATTTCTTTCGTAGAACAAAAAACCCATACACACATGTGGAAATTTACAACAATACAGTCAATCATCATGAGATTCTTTCTTTAAATCTAACAAATATACAGAGACGTTATTTGTGTTGTATACTTTTCAGATTGTATCATTTTCATTCCTTCTATGGCAGGAGCGGCTCCGAGTCCGTTAAATAAGAAACTTTGGAGAGAATTGACTGAGGTCAAATTATTGGCTAAAGACAATAAGCTAAAACACGGCAAGTTTATTTATGAAAGTTCTTCATTCGACTATGCGCAAGATGACTTGCCCAAGGATTATGCTCAAAATATTATCGTTGGACGATTAGAACTAACATCGAATATCTATAAAAATCATGCTCTTCGAATTGAAATTCATCTACCACCAGAATATCCGATGAAACCACCGGAAGTGGTCATAGCAATACCCATCTATCATCCAAATGTTAACGAAAAAAGTAAGTAAAGTTTACCGATAGTCTCTTGTTGCGAAGCAGGAAATGAATGAAACTTGCTAATAATATCATAAGTTTTATACTTATTTTTCTATTATGTAGATCGATTATGTGATAATCGTCTGATTCTTAGCGAGACATGGAACAATCAAACGACTTTGATCGGAGTTCTTGAGATTATTGTCGACGCTCTTGATAATCCTAGACCTGAAGATGCTCCAGTGAATACCGGTTTGTTCGGAACAGTAGCCTATTGCCTCTTTTGCATTCACTTTGTTATAGGCGCCGCTAAAGACTTTATACAAAGCCGAGCTGAATACGAACGGAAGGCGACGGAAATGATCCAACAGAATGGATTACCTCGATCACAAGAATAATCCAACGTTTTTTCTTCTCGAACAGAAAATGATTTTGTCAGGTGCAAAAGCTTTTTTCATCTTTATATCTATCTTTCAAATATAAGCCTTCTGTATTTTTTGTCTTCAATAAACAAGAATTCTGCTTTGTGATTGAAAATTCTCTTCATAGATGAAACTCTTTTACCTTTTGAAATAAATGAAAGAAAGCCAAGACCACTGATGGGGTGTGTGGGTGTGAGTGGGTGGGGGTGGGGGTGCGGATGTGGGTGGGGTGTGAGTGTGGGTGTGGGTGTGTGTGGGCGTAGGAGCTGATTATCTCTTTATCCATACCTACCCACACCCACATTCCACACCCACACCCACACCCCACACCCACATCCCACACCCACATTCCACACCCACACCCCACACCCACACTCGCACCCCATACCCACACCCACCCACACCCACCCCACACCTACACCAACACCCACACCCACTCACACCCACACCCACACCCACACCCTTCGACTGGTGATCTTGAACGATAATCTGCCATATGGTTTTTCTTGCCTTGAATGTGTTTCACCTTAAATCGATATTCAGCTAATTTTAATCGCCATCGTTCACATCTTTTATTTAATTGTTCTTTGTTTGAAAAATGAATTAATGGTTCATGATCAGTTTCTAATATAAATTCATGTCCACGAAGATATTTGTCCCATTTTTCTATTGCTTGTACTACTGCATAACATTCCTGTTCAATTGTCGGCCAATTAGTTTGTGTTTTTGTTAATTTCTTTGACATATATGCTAATGGTCGATCACCATTCGGAGTAATTTGTAATAGGACAGCGCCAATTCCATCTACAGAAGCATCAGTTTGTAATTTAAATGTTAATGTATCATCAGGAAAATCAAGAATAAGATCAGTTGTTAATATTTTCTTGAGTTGGTGGAATGCTGTTCTAGCTTCAGCAGATAGTTCAAATTTTAATTTTTTATTATTCTTTTGTTGTTGTACTGTTGCTGGAGAATATTTATGTAACGGTGCAGCGATGGTAGAAAATTTTGGAATAAATTTTCGGTAATATTCTGCTGCTTTGACGAATCTAAATGCTTCTTCAGCTGATGTTGGTTCACGTGTTTCAGTCAAACCACGGATGGTGTCTGGATCAGGTTTAATAGTACCTGCTTTAATTAAGTGTCCAAGAAATAATATTTCTGTTCTTGCAACTTCGCATTTATCAACATTTGATTTAAAATTTGCTTCATGTAATAATAAACATACTTCTTCGATATGTTTTAAATGTTCATTAAAATTTTGTGAGTAAATAATAATATCATCGATATAGGCGAGTACATGTTTCCATCTGTTTGGACCTAAAATTTGATTAACAATACGTTGAAATGTTGGTGGCCCATTAGTAAGGCCTTGTGATAATACTTTAAATTGAAAATGCCCATCTCGTGTTGAAAATGCTGTTTTTGGTTGATCTGCTTTATCTAATGGTACTTGAAAATATCCAGCTTTAAAATCAAATTTCGTATGATTTAAGCGACGATAATCGACACAAAATATTCTTGTTCTATCTTTCTTTTTTACTAATATGACGGGTGAAGACCATGGTGATGTTGAACGTTCAATAAGTCCATTTTTCAGTAATTTTTCTGTTTCTTTTCTTAAGGTTTCTTGATCTTTGTTTGATTTTCTATATGGTGGAGTATGAACAGGACGTTGTGTACCAGTATCAATAGCATTTTTTAAAATTATATCAATTTTTGATGGTTCACTAATGTCAAATAATTTCCATATTTCCATAAAATTTTAAAAATTTGTTCTCGTTGTTTATCATCGCTAATATGTTCAGTTAATTTATTTATTTGCTGTCTTATTTCTTCAGGATAACATTGATTTCTAAGATGCTTGAATAATTCATTGCCAGTATCAAAATGTTGATAACATTTACGACATTGATGTTGTTTTCCATGTGATGCTATAGTTGGTATGTTGTTACAATTTAATTTATTTGATTTGTTCGCTCCTTTTCCTTCAGGAATGAGCTCTTTACAGGCTTTTCTTTCCAGAATCCGTTCTATCAAATAATTTGATGGTATGGTAACACCAATTGTAGAAGATAATTGCGTCACTATACCTAATTTGGTTCCTTCGGAAAGCGTTTGTTGTCGATTGGTTGCATTAATTATACTTATTTTTATTGTTCTATTTTCAATATTGAGTAATGCATTTACAGTAAATAATGCTTCATTTTTTAATCGAGGATTTGGTTCAAGTAATACATTAGTCATATTGTTGGGTTGGACTTTTGCTTCTACTATTTTTCCTGAAAAAGGAGGAAGAGTAATATGATTAATAAGAGTAGCTGGATAATTTAAAAGAGGTGGTTTTACAAAAGGAGTTGATACTTCTTTACCTCGACTTCGGATCATAATTCGTTGTTCTGGTGTAAGTATATAAACATTGTTTGCTTGGATCCAATCACTACCTAATATTAAAGTTGTAACAAGATTGGTTGTAACATCAGCAATAATTGCTGTTTTTTATGCCATTAACATTTATTTCTAAGGGTATCTCACCAATAATATTTAGTGTTGAGCAATTTGCAGATAAATGATTTATTGTTTTTGGTATTAATTTTTCATGTGGTATATATGATTTAATAAGTGTTGATGTATAATAGTGATGGCCGATCCGGTATCGATAAGTGCTGTTTGTGGAGTATTGTTGCATAAAATTTTGACAAAAATAGGAGCAAATGTTGTTGAGGTTGATGACTTTTTTGCTTCACAGGGATCATCGCCATCATCCGATCCCTTTATTCGAAAAAATGTTGTTGAGGACAATCACGCACTTGATGATTTGATTGTCCGCATTTAAAACA